ATCAGGGCGATGCCACACATAGATGAATGTGTGACTAATGCTCCCTGTTTTCAACCACATTCTCACATTTCTTCCCATAATGAGAGAAAAACTTGTCGGAGCTTGTTCTATCTCTTGTTTCTGAACGCTTCACTGCACACAACATATCCCATGTAGACAACAGACACCCACTCCAAATTCCAGTGTAGAGAGGTAGTGTTTTTCACAGGTGGCATGTGGAGCTTTTCAAATGAGATGACTGGGAACATAGAGGGGAAAAAAACAATGGCTTTTCAGTGCAGACAACAGAGCACTGAATGAAGGAGCTTCCTCAACAGCCATCCTGTTTGTGGGGAACATAAAAGGAGGCTGGTTTGGGATTGGTTTTATGGTGTTATAATTATTGGCGCACACTTTTGTTGGCAGATTCTTTACAATGTGTGTTTTATTCAGCTTTGGAGAGATACATTAAGTACCTGTATTGACCTCACAAAGATTAGTGACTTCCTAGTCTCTGTCGTAGTTTATTTGAGTAAAGCTTATCAGTACATGGTTCCATACAGTGTCAATACACGCAGTGAATTGAAGAGTGTCCTGTTGTTTGGCTAAGATAACTCATGTTTTTGTCGTCACACACAAGATTGTTTTGACCTTGTGTGATTTGTATGTTATCAGAAGGATTACACACTCCTTGTGGGTTGAATAGCTTTACCTCATAGGCTCATAAAACCCCACCGGATTATCTAAAAAATGCAATGTCTCCTTTAGTGTTGTTCCAGACCTCTGAATCATTTCTTTTGTGTTGTTTAAATCCAGTCTGATTATCTGGCTAAAGTCAGATAGACAAGAATGAAAAGCAGAAACCTCCACATTATTTTATTGCAAGCAGACTTTTAAAATATATTATTTATAAAAATACAAATGAAACCACTCTTTCAAGCAAAGGAATGTTGCTTTATTGAAAGGCCCAAAAGTATGTATTTGTATTTGAGACAAATAGGACTTTTTTAAAAACGCTAACAAAATAAATAAGCAACTAATAAAAGCAGTGTAGAAATGTAATGTGAGTACATTTATGTAATTGCCATACTTAAGCACACTTTTCTTTGCTTCCTCTTTTTATTCCAACATCTTTATCTACTAGTTACATTTTTTAGTTACTTTATTGGTTAAAAATACAAAATACATGATTATTTTATCAAATACAATACATTGTCATTAATACCAACCCAACATTATATGACATAAATACTTCTGACCTTTAATTAAGTGACAGTACTTGCAGCACATTTACTGGTAAATTATTACTATTGGTGACTGTGGATTTCTATTTTACTTAAGTAAATAATCTGAGTACTTCTTTCTTTACTGATGGTTAGGCTGTAGTCTTCAGAACGAATAAACAAAGGCGTGAATCCGTTAGTTCTTAACAAGGGTTTTGGGGGCCTCACTGAGATGGTGGGAAACAGTAGGTGCATTTTGTGTTGGCAGTACACAAAAACTCCCCGGTGCTTTCTTTAATCCACCTCTCTGTTTGCTGATACCACGAGAAGTGTAAGGAAAGCAGGGGGTGTGAGGGGGGCAGGCTCTGAATGACATGGCGTTGCTGCTCCGGCCTGCCATTCACTGACCCACAAAATGCAGACCCAGCCCCCAGTGTGAAGTACCTTTGTGTTGTCATCACCCTCACAAGCCTGCGACCAGAGGAGGAGGGGGTGTTAGGGCGCTGATGTGAGTCTGCTCTCCAGCAGCACGCATGCACAGTTAGGTGGATAAAAAGAAGCCTGTATTGTAATGAAAGCATTTGCATACTTGTGTGTTAGAGAGGGTGTTAACCTTTGACTCCTTTGAGAACTGGGTGACAACAGAAACCACTTCTCAGGACCTAAGCATTAACACACTTGAAAATAACTCCTTAGCGTACCTCGTTGTGTATCAAAACCGTTAAAGTGAGGAGAGAAAGGCAGCGTGAGTGCTTAAGATGGAGAGTTTCCTTCAAGTGTCAGTTCACACTCAAAACAGAGTGTGTCAGACCATTTGCAAGTGAGGATTTCTGGATCTTCAAGCGTTGTGTTGGGCCTTTCTGGGTTTGAAAAACAGATCCCACTTTCTATATCCCGAAGATACAAATTGTGAAATATAGTTAACTAAAATAAGTGATACTTGAACGAGTACAACAGATATTTGTGGAGGCTTAGGTTGACAAACAGCTGAGGAAAATATAATTCAAACAGCCTTTTTTCTGCTGCAGGAACCATGTTTGAAATGTAACCTTTTACCATTGTGAGTAAAAAGTTCACCATGATATTAATTATGTAACCTTAAAAAACAAAACAATCTACATGTCATTATGAGGTTAAGGCGCATCTTAATTTGCAGTGCATGATTTATTAAGAAAGGGACAGTTTTGTTCTCCTTTTCCCGATGTGTTGAAATTATCATGTCAAACTACCTTTTGTTTTTGTAAGCAGTTTGATTTGAAGGTCAGAAAGCCATAAATCAGCCCACACTTAACTTGTTAATCTATTATTTAACCAACATCTTTCACTCCGTCTGTTGTATGATTAATGTCCGTGTATAGTAACGTTGGACAAGACAATGTCCGCCTCTTCAGTTGATATTTTGGGAGGTCTTTGTCAGGGTGTCTGGCTGTGTTTGGCTCTCAAATTGAGGGGCTCTTCTTTCCAAGTACGCGGCGCTTCACAGCAAAGACTTGACTCTGAAATTCCTCAAGATAAGAGTTGCTAGGTGATGCTATTGTTAGATCTTCTTTGTGGACACATATTCATACCCAAATTGTAAGGTTCTCTATGAGGAGCGTCTAATTAATAGTCATATATTCATACCAGGCCACCCCCTCCTACTTGACCCCTCCTTTACCAGTCGTGGGAAAGACAAGTCCTGGGCGACATTTGGAGGATTCGGGCAATTACTTGGAGACGGTCGGAAAGATTGTCAAGCTTAAACACGCTATCATATGGAAAGACTGGTAAAGCTCAAACATATTTGTACTGTAAACGGACACATATTGTTCGCTACATACAGAACTTCCCGTTCCCGTCCCAGCAGAGATAGAGGGTCCCTAAACGTATATTTAAACACCAAGTGCAAATGTACCCGAGCTGGACTGAGTTGGCATCTATGCACTGGTTCAGCTCGGTGCTCTGTTTTTAATTAAATTCCCATGCCATGTGCAAGACACCAAATCTACTGTTAATACAAATAAAATAAAAATCAGAGAGAGAGAGTTGAAGGAAAATCTTTGACATACTCTTTACTGTTTCACCTTTATTATAAACTATTTTTTAAGAAAAAAAATGCCTTTATTACTTTGTTTAAATATAGTCAAAGCTTAACATTTAATAATTGAACAGAGTAAAATTCAGTGTATTGCTCCACATTACTGTGTAGACAGGTCCATTATAACAATGCAAATACTAATTTGTTAAACAATATAAATGATCATTATACTGACCTTCAGAAAATCACATTTGAAAGTTACTACATATAAGTACACAAGTGCAATTTTATGGTACTTATATTTGACTTGCTTACTTACATTTTAATGGCTTTCTTAAATACAAGGTACTTGTACTTTGGTTGAATTGTTCTATACTTTGGTACTTTTATTTATTTCTTGTATTTTTGTTATAATTGTAGTATCTGTAGTTTTTCCCTGAGTGGCATCCTTGAGTCAATTTAAACACTTTACATACTGAAATATTATTAATACCGAATATTATATTTTTTACCACAAAGGTAAGGCCTAAGTGACGAATAGACAAACAAGGGCTGCACCCATTTGAGTTAATTGTACTGTAAATTAGCAAGGTAATGATGTGTGTGTATTAGTCAGTATTAGTACATTGTAGTTTGTGTATTGTGTGATGTGTATTTCATTGTATTTTCATATTAGTATTATGGTTTTATGATGGTGTGAGGACCCTATAAGCTTTATATTTGAATTACACTTTACTTGTGAACGACAGACATTCAAATTAACAATATGTAAGATTATATGTAGGCCTATAGACTTTGACATGATATGGATCTATTAATTAACAAATATTGATGAATTAAGGGGAAGCATTACAATTAAACAAGGTAAATTCTAACTAATAGATATACACATGAAAGTTACAGTTGATTGCCTATATTAACACAATACTTTTATATTCCGAGAAAACTGAATATACAAATTAGACATTATCTTATCAAATATGTCCTCATTTGAAAACATTTCCAGGACAGAAACCTGAGAACACCTTTGTCAAAATCATCAAAAGAAATCATCAAAAGAAAAAACACATGTTGACAGAGTAAACATTAAAAGATTTGGCCATAAAACATACAGTTAACGCTGCAGGTACAGACAGATCTTTTAGTAAGAATCCAAAGAAAAGATTTCTAACCTTTGAAATATAAAATCACCATAAATGACCTTACCCTTTAAAGTCCCATATCAAATAACCAGTAATTCATAACTATTACAAACAATCTGCCTTTGTTCATCGCTCAGTATTATGTTCTTGTATAACAGGTTGTGTATTCAACTTTATCCCATGGTCACTGTAAAACACATTTGATCAACACGTTTTCTGAAACTGTGTTTAAATGAGCAAGTGAAGCATTCAGCTAGCTGTTGGTGAATTCAAGAGACATCAAGAGAAGCAATTCGACTATTGAAATAAATAAACACCTCTTAGAAGAAAATAAATATCCAAAATATTGAAAAGATACAATTTGGGATGTTTCTTTTCACTAATCTGAATGAGAACATGTTATGGAAACAGAAAACTCCAAAAAAAATACCAGTACATGAAAATCATACACACACTTTAAAATCAATACAGTGAGGCTGTTACAGTACAGTTTATGAATGAAAACAGGTGCGGTCAAATACATCTGGCCCCGCCCCTAAATTACCATATTTGGAGAACTTCAACATTCCAGAGCGTGCGGGGCGGAGCTATGACGCCACCTGTTTGTGAATGGGCTCAGTGAGCCGGTAGAGTGAAGTTAGTGTGGGACAGACCGACGGAGGAGAGACTTCGGGATTTAAAAACACGACTTTTTATAAAAGTTGTGCGGAATCATGGAGTTATGTCGGGTGTACTTGTTTCTCTTTTTATTCTGTCATCACGTCTTTATCAGCCTCCAGTCGAAAGAACGTAAGTAGGCTACTTTTTTACGCGTTGTCTAAAAACTAAAATGAAGCCGAGCTGTTGCGCACATCGTGAGTCAGGAGGTTGGAATTTGATAGCCTGTTTTAAGTTTTGCTTCTGTTTTAAAATGTGTTTAAAATAGCGAATATAGTACCTTTTTTTTGTTGTGTTTTAGTCTGAAAGCCAGTGTAAAACATTATATAGTGCGGGTTGCCTTTTATAATATCCCTTCACGAAGCCTAATTAAACTTTGTCTCTAATTTTCAAATTGATTTAAATCTTCAAAAAGATCGCATTATCACTTTTTCTTTTATACAGCCTACCAGTCTTTTAAGAGAATTACGCTACGTTTACATTTGTAATGGCCTTTGCCAATTTAGGGTTAAAGGGCACCTGTGAGTTGCCTTAACATGTCAGACTTTTCTTTTACTTGTGGTTTAGATTCATGTATTTCGCTCGTCATGGCAATTTAAGTGCCCACGCCTTTCTCAGACATTATTAATGCTGTATCCTGGATTTGGAGGACACGGCCAATGAAGTCCTGAATCAGACCGACATGCTCGATTAGACCGTCAAAGGATGGCATGTGCCCTCATAAAACTGCTGTTCCCGGAGATCAAGCCACACCATTTCTTAGTACAGTCAGATCTTAGTCATTTTCTAATTGTTTTACAGCCTATAAGTTCAGGTCTGTAAAATATTTCGATGTCATTTGAAGCGAATATTTTAGTTTTTTTATTCATTATCATTGTGTCATTTTGTTCTTGTCACTCTGTAATATATGTTTTTCTGTTTGTGTCTGTAGAAGTATTGCTGGATATGAGAGCTTCAGGATCAGAGTTGGGGTGGTTGACGTTGCCATATGAGAACGGAGTGAGTATTTATACCTCAACTGGCATTTTTAAGACTTCAGGTTAAAGACTTCAAACTTTCTTTCTCTGAGTAAGACAACTTATGGAAACAAAATTAGCGCAAGACAAGCCGATGTGAGGAAATCAATAATATTTAGCAAAAGAGGGTTATTTCTTCTCATAGAATAATGAATCCCTCTGAGAAATGTAAGAGTTAAGCTAGTATGTTGACGTTAACCTTTTATGACAGACTTATGAATGCCATTAAAATGCCAAGGTTCAACCTACATTATCACAGGAGCTCATTCCAACAAGGTTTCTGAATCCTCTCTGACCTTAGAGATGACATCAACAGCAAGATGATCTGTACAGTTGTGGTTAGACATAAGTAAAAGAGAAAGAAAGACTGGTCCATGTGTGGAGAACCATCCCTCTATCTATAGTTCAGTGGCTTTCCATCTAAAAAAAGACACAGGACATGGCCACTTCCACTGTGTGGGCCACGTTTCTTCTTACGTTCTCAAAGATCTAAGGATTCTCCTTTTATCAGATAGGATTTCCCCTTGTCCATCAAACTTTGCTTTGTGTTCATCCAACTTTCTCACACTTCTCACAAACGTTTATTTAAATTTGTCACAGGGACCTGCAATGTGTGGTTTCAGCTAATATTTGATTAGCTAAATGCTGTGTACACTTTCCTAAGTAGGCGATTCAAGTTGGATAGTAATTTCAAGTGATGTCTAATCATTGAAATATAACTGCAAACACACCAGTGCTGCTACTATGAGGTGTTACATCTTAATATTGAATTGAGGCTTTTAATCTTTCTGCTCGTCATTGCTCCCCTCTCTTAAAAAGTCTTAATTGCTGCCAATTTAGCTGCCACTGTGCTTATAAAGCTCATTAAACTGCCATAAATGTTAGTTGGTAGTCTACAGTAGTATATGCTGTGTGTGTGTGTGTGGTTCACACAACATGCAGCCTCGTGTGTTAGTGGAAAACCACACACGTCGAGAGCATGGCACATGTCGAGGCCAATAATCTTGATGTGTGGAAAAAAGCTCCAGCTCACTCCTGCTCACTCCTGCTCTTTATGAGCTTCTCAGTCAGCATGAAAGAAGAGGTGTCTCATAAATAAATCCCTCAACAAGAACAAAGCAAACAAACCCTGTACTTACTCCCTGAAAAATACTCCTTTGATTATTGTAGCTGTGTGACAGTGACTTTTGCCCCTTACACTAATCCATCTCCTCTTTTTTTGTCTTTTTCTTTCCTTAAGTGGGAGATAGTTCAAACGGTGGTGAACGGCTCGCTATTCTACACCTACAGTGTGTGTAGCATTGACTCTACGGAACAGGACAACTGGTTACGCACGACATTCATCCAGCGGCGCCCGGGAGCCACTCGAGTCTCTGTGGAGCTCCGCTTTATTGTGAGAGACTGCAACACCTTTGATGGTGCTTCAGTCGCCTGCAAAGAAACCTTCAACCTTTTCATCTCAGAGGCCGACGCTGACGTCGGAACCAACTTCCGTAAAGGCCAGTTTCGCAAAGTGGCCACCATCGCTCCTGACGAGGTCACACGGGGTCGCGTGCTGAAGGTCAACATGGAGACGAGGGCCATGGGGCCTCTGTCTAGAAAGGGCTTCTACCTGGCTTTTCAGGACATGGGCGCGTGTGTGGCTCTGCTGTCTGTCAGAGTTTACTACAAGACGTGCCCAGCCACGGTGCAGAGCTTGGCGGACTTCCCGGAGACTGTGGCGGATTCTCTCAGGGAGGTGGAGGGAGCCTGTGTGGAGAATGCCGTCAGCCAGGCCACCCCACGCATCTACTGCACAGCTGAGGGAGAATGGGTGGTTCCCGTGGGGCAGTGCCAATGTCTCGCCGGTTATGAAACCACCGGGGAATCCTGCCAAGGTAAGCACAGCCAAAAAACTGCCACGCACTCAACTGAGAAGGGTTTATGTTGCCATGTGAGTTGTAGTAAGTGAAGAGCCTCCAACCACTCCTCTGGCAACATGTGAGGAATGAGCGCTGAGGAATGTTAATTGTGTCTGGTTTGTTTGGAAATCTTTCACAAAAGCACTCTATCTCTGGCGTATCTGTGCTGAAGTGGGACAGGTACGGCAGGAGGGAGCTTAGGAAACGGGGAAGATGACTAAGCCTGTTTGTTGTGTTTTGATATTACAGCAACCACAGATTGCTCCATGATAAATCCACTGAGGGAAATGTCAACAGCCTCCCATCAATGCCTCATCTCTTTACAAATTCTTTCCACAGTCTTTTCCTCAGGACTCAGGAATGGGGCTGTTATATGGATAGGTCGATGTCTGGAGGTGATGACACAGTACAAGAAGCTATGTCCAAATTCCACACCACACACTAATTCTCAGAAGGCTTTGAGTTTGTTGTGCCTTTTTTTAAATAAATAAATCAAGGAAGTATAGTTTTGGTATGTAGAATACAAAACTTTCCAAACATTTAGATATTAGACGGGTAGTTTTTAAAACAAAGAAAGCTATGTAAACAGCCCCAGAGAAGGACCTGTGAATACATATCAGAACAATAAAATAATGTGTACAGTAAAAGACATAGCTGCGGCTTTTATACAGTAAGTGCTCCTACTGTTCGTGTGGAATTTGTCTCTGGCTTCTCGGGCGTGGTGTGTTGAGCGTCTGGAGGAAGCGTGGGAGGAGAGAGAGGACGGAGAGGAGGAGGAGGGGGAGGAGGGAGAAAGGGCTCAGTCGGCTGCAGGGACTTTTGAAAGGAATTCTTTCACCCTCGCGTCACCTCCAGCACTGATTGACTGAAGGAAGAAGCCGTGTGAATGTGTCAGAATAACTACCTGAGTGCTATGTCTTCTGCTCGCAAGTATTTGTTTTGGGCCAGTTGCTAAGGCGACAGGGGCCACAATTACAGGGAAGAGGCCGACACGCCTGCCAGAGGTTAGACTGAGTAAGGCTGCGGTTTATGACTCCTGAGAAAGTCACCTTGACTGGCAGAGCTGGCTTTTTCCAGTCATTTCTTTTAACACAACTGATCCCTCGAACCAGCTTAAAGAATTAAGCAATTAGTTGATTGATAAAAGAGTAATTGAAAACTCTTTTGATAATTGTTACTTCGTTTACTTCTTATTTTCTTCCAAAATTTCAAAAATAATTGTAGCTTTTCAGTTGAGATGATTTACTGCTTGAATTATATTTGGACTGGTTGGACAAAACAACATATTTGAAAACTATTTTGTGACAGGATATAGACCAAACATCTATTAGTTGCAAGTCTAAAAGTTTATGGAAGTTATTGTAAGCGCTACATACCTTTTTGATAGATAAGTGGTTCATAGAGTGAATCTTGTACTGGGGTTGTAAAAATGAAGAAAGAATAAAGAGGAAGGCGGGGAGGAAGTCATGGCAGAGGAATGCTTCAGTCTTTGAGGTTTCTGACCACAGTGGACTCTGAGCCCAGCACCTGAAACGGAAGTTGGCTGGGAAAGATAGGAAATATTATGACGGGGAAAATCTGCGATTCCAAAGTCTGGAGGATGACCTGAGTATTAGGATGTTTTTATACACAAATTAAAAAACAATTATAATGCTGTAGTTTGTTCCAACTCCCTATTTTCAAGTACACCAGAGAAAGTGATATCCTCGAGGCTAATGGCCTGCATTCCCCTAAAGAGAACAACTGTTGTGGGAACAGGAAGTAAAGGGAGAAGAGGAGGAATGCTGACACAAATGAGAAGGTTGTCCTGTGCCCAGTCGGAGGGTGGGGAGTCAGTCAACAGTTGGTGCATGAGGGTGGTTAGTTTCGTGGCTGCTTAGTTAGGTGTGGAGTGTAATTTAGTCAAGAGGATTAGTGGAGCAACAGGACAGCTGTTAGCCAATGACATGCCCCGCTTTGCCTCCCTTTGCTCTTTCATCCGGTTGTTAACACACGCAACGAGCTCCCTAATCCGTGTTCCTACTCATTAGAACAATGGACCTACACAAAGTGCAGAAAACAGATCCAATTAACAGATGCACCGGTGCAGAACACAAGTCCTTTTCACATGTGTGCAGTAGTCAGAAAGGAGCGTGAGAAGATTTCATCAAGAAGGGGACAATTAAAGTCAGCTGAAGAAACGTTTGGAATTGAATGGAGAGCTGCAACCAACAATTATTTTCATTGACAACTCAAATCAGGATTTGGAATTTTCGACTACTTAAAAAAAAAACAAAGGAAAAATGATTGAATAATCAAATACGTTTTTATTTAAATAATTAAATAGTTGACAACTAATCTGTTAATCACCGCAGCTTTAATCAAATTAAAACTGTATTTCAACGCTTTTTGATGACTCACAAAAAGACGCTCAGACTTTAATTCAATGTAATTATGAGAATCCATCGTTGCCTAAGTTAGCGTTTACAATGTTTGCAGACATTGGAGGAATGCCGCCATTTGCGAGTTGTTTAATGAGAAAAGCAACATATTTATGGCCCCACTCCGTCCAATCTCAGAGACAATGGATGAATAGGGCTGGAGTTTCTTTGGTACGTGACAGACGTCCTGCTGCTGCAGCTCAGGATGAAATGGACTGGCCCCCTTTTCTTATTTGAAAAGGCCTCTGCTGCACCCCCACTGCCGCCAAGTGACTCCCCAGGGAGAACTTCTGTCGGTGCTTCAGACCTTTGCCCCCATCCCCCATCCATCTATTCATCTTTATCCCTCCTACTCAAAATCAACCTGTTCCTTCTCCTCCACTGCGGCATTACTTGGAGTGCAAAGGTCCTTCTGCCTGAATGGTGAAGTAAGGCGACCGCGTCTTAAATCCAGGGTTCACTCGACCTCTTCTCACGGCCACCAGCACAGGGGCCAGATGAAAGGCTCCACCCGGGGGGAGGCGGCAGAATGAAAGCAGAGAGAAGATATCTTTTATAAGATCCTCTTTTAAAGTTTATATTGTGCTGGAGCCCTTTATCAACTCAGAAAGTATGTTTGTGTATTTCCATAAACAAACTGAAAATCATACTCGTTCCTGTCAGTTTTTCCTATTTCCTGCTTCTAACTCTTCAACATTGGGTGCTGTAATTTGCCACTGGTGTCAGGGGTTAGAGGAAGGAAGGAAGAAGGAAAGGAAACATCAGCCTCAGACTGGATTGCAGCTCTGGCGCTGTACTTTCTGTCCACTCTACACGTTCATTAACCTCTCATGCCCTGGAAGGCTGTTTATCAGTGAGCTCAAATGTCACATCATCATCATCTCTTTCAAAAGTGTCCAAGATTCCATTTCCTTTGGCAAAAACATAAATATCATCTGCCAGAGAGCATGATCTGAGGGTTCACAGGGGAACGGCAGATCAGATCACCTGATGGATTTAATGCTCCTCTGTCGTCCGGTTCACACTGTCGGTGTGACCTGAGATTAGGCCTTCAGGCCAAATAGGCAAGTGGAGGCAGATCGTCCGGGAAATCCCTTTTCATTCCTCCAGATACAAAGGCTCAGTGATTATAGGTTACTCACAATATGCTTCCTGTAGGGTGGAGCGGGCTGGTATTACAGAGACGGCTTCATTGTTTGCATTTACATCATTCATTCTTCCTGTGTTTGTCTGTTTTTATAGTTAGTCCTAAAGACAACCTTAAACTAACACACACCTTTTTTTTAATCTCACACAGAGTGCAAACCAGGTTACTTCAAGCCATCTGTATCAGGCGAATTGTGTCAAGTGTGTCCCAATAACACAACGCCGTCCGCAGCTGGCGCCACCGACTGTCAATGTGAGGAGGGTTTCTTCCGCTCCCCTTCAGACCCTCCTACGTCCCCCTGCTCTGGTAACAACCACACTCAATTTCATTTGACTCATAAAGTAAACTAATAGCTCATTACTGAAGATCAGGCTAACTGTTCTGTGTCATGTACTTCCTCCCTTAGCTCCACCCAGTGCCCCTCGAGACCTGACCTCCACCACCCTCTCAGCAGAGGGCAGGCTGCATCTGTCCTGGAGCCTGCCGCTGGTGACCGGGGGCCGCAGGGACCTCACCTACAGTGTGGAGTGCAAACACTGCGAGGGGGCCGTGTGTGTCCCATGTGGCGAGAAGATCCGCTTCGAGACGGGTCCGACAGACCTGCAGGACACTGAGGTTGTGATTAGTGACCTGGACTCTCATCTGAACTACACCTTCATCGTGGAGACTCACAGCGGCGTGTCCCAGTTCGGTATGGAGAGGCCCATCGCCAGCATCACCACCGCTCTGGACTACAACGGTGAGCTCAAACACAAGAAAAGCTCTTCTTTTTGCTCTGATTTAACCTTGTGTTATGCTCTAAGTGGCTTTACTTTAAGTATGTGTGAAAATAATAATGAAAATCAAAAAGAAAACTATTGAAAGTAGAAATGATAACAACTTTCTATGATACCCTTGTGTATAATGCTTTCGAATAAATAGTTGTGAGCACCAGTCTATATACACTATGATTCTTAACATTAATCATAACGATAAAACAATGTGTAAAAAAGTAGTAAAACTAATCAAATGTTTTAAGCTGTTGAAAGAGGTCTATTGTCCTCAGAACCTCAAACAGTCATTTTTAAATATTTAGAATTGTATTTCTCAGTACAAACCATCATCCAAAAAGAAGGGCTTACTACACAACGAGGAATGTGACACACAGAATCCCAAAGGCTCTCATTTCCAAATGTGCTTTCCAAAGTCTATGATTAGTCACTAACCATTATTTTGCTTTCTGTCCCTCACCGACCGTTAGATCCCCCCAAGGTGACGTTGATCCATCTGGATGATCGCAGCCCTACCAGTCTGTCTCTGTCCTGGACTCTGTCTCGCAGGGCTCCAGCCCACATCAATCACCGCTACGAGCTCATGTACCGCAGAAAAGTAAGACACACTGCTCCTTTGTCCCTCCTTCACTCGTTCAAAGTTGTGGCTGTAAATGGTTTCTAAAATGACTCCTCCTGTTTTCCTTATTGCGCAGGATGATGAGGGCGAGCGTGATGTGACCACCTACACAGTCCTGATTTTGGAGAAAAGTTCCGTTTTGATCAGTGACCTCACCCCAGACACTACGTACATGTTCAGGGTCCAGGCACTGAGGCCTGGACCTCAGTCCTCAGAAGGAAACCCCGGCAGCTACAGTGTGGAGCACGAGTTCCCTACTTTACCTCTAGGTAACGGGAACCTTTAAATCATTTCTCAAAATGTGTTCTGTACAATCTTTTATTTCTCGTTCTTGAGTTGTTAAATGTGTCTCTTTCTGTGTTTTGCACAGCCGAGTCTCTGACCCAGAACAGCTCCACCATGGTGATGGGAGCAGTCGTTGGCGTCGCGGTTATTCTGCTCGTTGTGGTGGCCGTCCTGCTGCTGCGTAAACGGTTGGTAACAACATGCTTCTGATCCCCGTCCAACGCCTGTGTCATTCAGATAAATGTTATCTTCAGAGCTGCAGACTGTGTGATTATGTGCCACAAGCTCGAGTAAATTAAAGATATTCGGGTATGACAGCTCAAGGAGGATTTATCGGTAATAGCCGGTGTAGCTATTGAATACAGCCTTGGTCTTTTCAGCTGAGACTGACCTGCAATTAGTTCAAAGCTGTTTTCTGTTTAGTAATCCCTCATGTTTTCCTTTCAGGAGAATGAACTCTCGTGGCAGGGGAGGACCTGAAGATCCTTACTTCTCAACAGGTTAGAAAACCATTCTGTACATTCAAAAATAATATCACCAGTTTATTCGGTTATCATTAAGACTAAAAATCTGGTCTTTATTTCTATCCTAGATCAACTGAAGCCTCTGAAGACATACGTTGATCCACACATGTATGAGGACCCTAACATTGCCATCGCGAAGTTTGTCACAGAAATTGACCCCAGTGCCATTAGCAAACAGAAAGTCATCGGTGTTGGTGAGTGTATTTCTTTTTAAAACACGATTTGATTTAATGAAAAAGTTAGAGCATGGTTCCTAAAGTGTTCTCCTGCTGTCTGTCTGCCAATCAGGAGAGTTCGGGGAAGTGTTTTGGGGCGTAATGAAGACTCCTGGGCGAGGGGAGGTGCCCGTCGCGATCAAGACCCTGAAGCCGGGATACTCTGAGAAACAAAGGCAGGACTTCTTGAGCGAGGCCAGCATCATGGGTCAGTTCTCGCACCCCAATATCATCCGCCTGGAGGGAGTCGTCACCAAATGTGAGTCCATAACATCAGAAAGAAATCAAATAAATCACTCTAATTTCATTTGCATCAGCTGCTTGCTGTGGTTTTCTTTCTCTAAACCTATATTTTCTGTTTCTAATTTCAGTCAAGCACTTAATGATAGTGACCGAATACATGGAGAACGGAGCCCTCGACACATATCTGAAGGTACGTGCAATATGTCAAGAGCTGAGCTTCAGACATAAACATAATTTTTATAGTCCTTATTATTTGTTAAGGGTGCAAACTAAAAACCACTCGTCTAATGATCTCGTCTTGCCTTAAATCTATGTTTTCTGTTTATTTCTTTATTTTCGATAACATTAAGTTGATGGTATTGTTTTTTTTCTTCAAGTCTAAGCAAGACAGCATATAATATGTTTCCCAAAATGTTGAACTATTCCTTAAATACAGTTAAAAATTCCATAAAACAAAGGAAGTTGTGTTTAACTTACATTTATGTCAAGATGAAAATGTTTTAACAATTAAGTGTAAGAAAAGGTTATTTAATATTGTTTTCCTTTTAGGACAGAGATGGGGAGATTCATTCATATCAGCTGGTGGGGATGCTGCGGGGAATAGCTGCTGGCATGAAATACCTCGCCGACATGAACTACGTCCACCGTGACCTGGCAGCGAGAAACTGTCTGGTTAACAGCCTCCTGGAGTGCAAAGTCTCTGATTTTGGGCTGTCACGTGTGCTGGAGGATGATGCTGAGGGCACTTACACAACCAGGGTAAGTCTACATTTTACAGCCTGAAAGCATAGAGAGAACCACCCTTGTTTTATTTCCTTCTCAAGCGTCCAATCCAAAGTGCTTTTCTTTCAGCGCCTTGTGTTTGCACTCTCTGCACCAATTAAATATGATTTCTTACTGTTTCTCTTCTATCAGGGAGGTAAAATCCCCATTCGCTGGACGGCCCCTGAGGCCATCGCTTACAGGAAATTCACTTCAGCTAGCGACGTGTGGAGCTTCGGCATTGTTATGTGGGAAGTCATGGCATTTGGAGAACGGCCCTACTGGGACATGAGCAACCATGAGGTATGTTTCCAACTGTTATGGTTGAGATGAGGGATTGTTTTAGGCTGTGTAGGTTCAACTTTATTATGTATAACCACTGAGAGTCTCAGCTGGGTATCTGGTGATAAAAAGCTGCCTGACATCCAGAGCAGTTTCCCATCATCCTTTTCAAATTAACTGTTTAAGTCAACATACGAACAAAGCACCTTTTCAGACTGTCTGTCACCGCTCTCATAAATATACTTTAGATCTAAGCACTGGTTTTGCTCTTCCTCAGGTCATGAAGGCTATCAACGAGGCGTTCAGGCTTCCTGCTCCAATGGACTGCCCCTCCGCTATCTACCAGCTCATGCTCCAGTGTTGGCAGAACGACCGCTCCAAACGGCCTCGCTTCACTGACGCTGTCACCATGTTGGACAAACTGCTCCGGTGCCCAGAGTCTCTGAAAACCATCGCTGACTTTGATCCACGGTATGAACATTATTTTATGATTTGGTACAAAAAGTAAAACTGTAAAAGACACTAATCCTCTCAGAGGTATAATTAATCCTACAGACCAGTTTTAGGGCGAGGGGAAAGTTTGTTTCTTTGCATTTCCGAAAATAAAGTCTAATTGTTGAGAATAAATGTTGAGGTTTAACATTTTTCATTAACGAACCTTTGAAAATCAAAACTGTTTGCATTAGGGCATATACTTTAATCTCTGATTGCCGTAATGCTTAGCTAAAACAAATGGTGTTCTTTTAGCATGAGCCTGGCCCTAATACTCTTCCATAGATTCTGAGGAGAATTAGTAAACTTAAACATAAGGCATTTATAAACCCTAATTTAGTGTTAATAGTTGAGACAGATATTAATCAATGAATGTATTATTTCTAAGATCTGTCTCCATTCTTTCCTTTAACTAGAGCAGTATTTGTCTTTGACATTAGAAAATTACACTTGCAAACCTGTTTCCTATTGTTCAGCTTAATGACGTGCAATCAGTGTACATGTATCAGTTAATGATGATTAACTCAAATATATCCGTTGTTTTTCACAGCGTGTCCATCCGCCTGCCCAGCACCAGCGGCTGTGACGGCACCACCTTCAGGTCGGTGGCCGAGTGGCTGGAGTCCATCAAGATGAACCAGTACAACGAAAGCTTCGCTCGTGCGGGGATCACGACCATGGAGCAGGTGCTCGCATTGAGGCATGAGTAAGTGCACACATGGCACAGGTGCAGCTCTGATTCATCTGGCACCAGGCCACATTTTTTAGTAACACAGAGAAAGTATTGAGCACTCAGCCCGAACATTTGTTATCCAGTTTGTGCAGAAATACTCCACTCCGCCTCTGCCCATGTCATTCCTCTCATTCTCTACCAACACAGCTTCAACAGCAGTGGCCTTTTTTTAAATCCGACATACCCTAACAGCTCTGTCACATTAACAAGTTATTTCACCGGCTTGTATTATTTAAAGCTCACTGTTTGAAGACATATTTCCATACATTCTTTTAAAACGCTTATTAATAGCCTTTAGCTGCAATACATGGATATATTTATTTCCGATCAAAACATAATTGATATTATTTTTCAACGAGATGACACTCCACCATGTTAAATGCTGCCCTACAAGAACCACTGCAGTCTCACAGAGTCCATATTGTTTTCAGCACACTTTTAAAACTATATATTTTCTCTCGTCCTTTCAGAGACATCAGGAACATTGGAGTGCGGTTGCCCGGTCACATGAAGAGGATAGCGTACAGCATCCTGGGTCTGAAAGACGAGACCAGCTCGCTCAGCGTGTTTACAGTGTGATCTAAAGCATTCCTCCAAATCAAAGTGCACTGACCGACCACGCCATTTCACTCACGGACAGGGAGGACTGAAGGGGGGGTGAAACTGAGCTACACTGCAGGGTTTTTTTTAGTGTGGCGCGACTGAAGAGGAGCCTCTACGCCACTCAGAAAGGACTTAGCTCCAAAACACTTATGTACTTTATAATAACAGAAGACAATTAATTTATCTTTATGTAAAAAAAATGTTTTATATGTTGAAAATGAACACGTGATGAAATTTTGTAATTAAAACAATTATAAAAGTAAATGCTAAATGTGAGAAAACGTGAGATTGCTTGGTCTGTTTTTACTGAATGACTGAAATATTTTATGTTGTTTATTATTATGGGCATTCTCTTCCAAGCACTCACTTTATCCTGCCAGAGTTTCTGGATCCTTATATTTGTTTGTTTTTCTACATTTCCATTCATGATCAATGAGACTTACTTAAAAAAAGTCAACTCAGGGCAAATTATCACACATTCTGTAGTTAGTCTGTGTCATACGATGCATTTTCCTCAGTCTTTTGTTTGTTTACATTGTGTCTTAAACGAACTGTTCATTTTTATTTAATATTTATTTTATTTTGTATTTATGTCATTTGTTACATGAGAAATAACTCTGATCTGGCGCATATTTGCCAGGTGTTGTGTTTTTGTGATTTTCAATAAAATCCGTGTTTCCTTGTGACTGGATCACTATCTGTACTCTGTAGTCAACGTGTTTTTGTTTGTTATGGGCTCAGACTGAAATATCTCAGCAACAGTTTGAGGGATTACTATGAACTTTGAAACAGACATGGTCCCCAGAGGATGAACCCTGCTGACTTTGGTGATCCCCTGACTTCTCCTGTAGTGCCAACAGCAAGTTGACATTTTTGTTTAGAAGTCAAATGTGTCATGGATTACATGGATTACCGTGAAATTTGGTCGAGACATTCACAGCCTTTGTGAACTCTGGTGATCCCCCACTTTTCATCTAGCCCCACCATGAGGTCTAAAATGTATTTTATGCATTGCTTAGGTTATGATCAATACGTAAAACATTCCCATCAGCCATAGCTGCACTTTGTGTATAAAAAAATATAGCAACTATAATCTCGGAAAACTAGAATAGTAGCCTAACTGTGAGACCATTGCAAAAATAAATAATAAAAATATACATTTTACACATGTCAAACTCAAATGTTAATTCAAGAAACTATTTATCAAATATCTCTAGCTAACCTTTCATATTTTTGCTAGATTTATGATCCTAAATCCTCAAAAGTGACTTGATTACTTGATTAACATTTTCTGCTTACAACCTCTTCACAAAAGAAACTCTGCAATGGCTCTTAAAACATTAAGAATAAAGTAAATCAAGACTTACTTTAAAAATGTGAGAATAAAGTTTAAATAAAAGTATAGAAGAAATGAAAAACATTTGAGAATTAATCAAACTACTATTGATTTATATAAACTGTGCATTTTACTTTGTTTTCAACTTGAATCTTTATCGTGGAAATGCACAATTAAAAAGACCTTCCTCCTCTCCCTTTCTTCTGCTTTATGTATTCTATACTTAAAATGTAAGTGTTCAAAACATGATCAACTCTCCTGATATAGGTTGCTCACCTCTGGTGGCACTTTTCTTCTGCCACCATCCCCTGGTCAGAAAGTATATGTTCTCTTTACCCTGAGGTGAAAATCAGAACAGATCTGACCTCAACTTTGAACTATATTTACAGTTTTGTTTTGTTAACAAGAATTGCTCGAGAAGTGCTTGTTTTGGTGGAACATGTCATCCAGACGGAGTTGATCAACCTCAATGACTTTGCCAAGTTGAAGCAGAATGTTACATCTACACACAACTGTGCTCCATCCTTTCACCGTGACTCACTCAGACATGTTAACCTCCCCCTCTGCTAGGTTTCACTGGAAATTCATTTGAACAGTGTGACAAATCTTAGAAGCACAATAAGATTAAACATTTAATTTAGGGCTGAATGTTGATACATGTTCTGACTATTTTCTCTTTTGAACATTTACTCTACAAAATGTGAGAAAAAATATGAAAATGTCCATCTCCAAGTCCAAGGTGATGTCTTTCAATCTTTAGGTTGTTTTCAGTACAAAAGTCAAAGATATGCAATTTAACAGTGTTGAGAGAAAATGGATACTAAACAACGTCTATCGTTGACTATACAATATGTGTGTCTTTTGATTTCCAGCTAAACACTAAACAGGTGGGAACAGTTACTGACAACACTCTGTTTCCATGGTAGCACACTGACACCGTCCAACTGTTACGTAAAACAACTCAGAAAAGGTACATAAAAAACGCAATAAATCCACATATTTGAGAGGCTGAAAACAACATGTTCTGCAATTTCTGGATGAATAATGAATTCAATGATTAATAACTTATCAAAAATAATTGTTGATCTACCAAGATATGAGTCGACTAATTGTTTCAGATCCCATTTTAAAAGCTATTTGATGGCGCAATATTGACACTTTTATAATAAGCTGTGAATGAGAGTTCATTAAATATCACACCTGATAATTAAAGTTTATTCTGTCACAGTGTAATAACAGCTCCACGCCCTTTCCCACATGAACACAAAGACTCATATGCTCCAAGTCCGGGGTGCGGCTAGAAAATGTGGTCCTCTGACAACAGTTCAACAAATGATGTGACTCATTGAAAATCTACAATCTGTGTCATGTTCCAGCTGATTCACATACACACACACACACACACACACACACACACACACACACACACACACACACACACTCNTCAGAACAGGAAATCAAATCCAAGCTTTAATCTGGATCAAATCTTCAAAATGGGTATTTTAGGATCAAACTGCTCCCAATCCTGTGTTGTCGGTTTGAACTACCCATTTTGAAGATTTGATCCAGATTAAAGCTTGGATTTGATTTCCTGTTCTGATCGGATATCAAAGTGATCCTAATCCTGTTTTTTGGTTTTGAACTACCCAAAATCCAAATCTGATCTGATTAGATAGAGATTCAAAGTTTTGAACTCCTGGGCCCAGATGATTTAGTAATCTAATCGATTGTCAAGGAAATCATGAATGTTCTACTAATAATGTCTTTGGTCAAGGACAGCAATACAAGTAATCAAGACAAGTATTTGCATATTAATCATTCATTTAAAAACAGCATATTTAATGCTTGGTTTTGATTAAGCTTTGATATGATGTCTTATTGGCTTACAGCTGCCAGATGCCTTGATGTGATGACTCTGATTTCTGTGTTCATACAGGAGTTTGGACGGTTAGGACCAGAGCATGTTTGTGGCTGTGCTCCTGCTCCTGGTCACTCTGAGTGTCCAGGGAGGAAATGGCGAGGAGAAAGCAGAGGCACAGAGACCCGGCCATGTTTCCGTGGTGATCGTAGGAGCCACAGGGGACCTGGCAAAGAGGTACCTGTGGCAGGGCTTCTTCGAGCAGTACGTTAACCAGGTCAGTGGTGGAAACACTTTCTCCTTCTACGGCGGGGGACTATCACCTGCCAGCACCGCCACACCGGTCTTCTTTGATATCGTCAAGGCCGTGTCCTGCTCAAAGGAAACATCCCCCGATCGCTGTGCCGTGCTGAAGGAGCAGTTCCTGCGGCTCGCTGAGTATCGGCAGCTGAAGGCCTTAGAGGACTACCAGGAACTGGCAAAGAACATTGAGAAAGAGCTTCAACAGGAGGGAATACCGGAGGCAGGCCGGCTCTTCTACCTCTCTGTACCTGCCTTTGCATATGCGGATATTGCTGATAAGATAAATAACAGCTGCAGGCCGGCCAGCGGGGCGTGGTTGAGGGTGGTGCTGGAGAAACCTTTCGGGCATGACTTCAGGAGCGCTCAGCTTCTTGCATCTCAGCTCGGGAGCTCCCTGAAGGATGAAGAAATGTTTAGAATCGACCATTACCTGGGAAAGCAGGTAGGAAAACCCTCTACATATGTGTGTGTGCCTTAACCCATGACCCTGTAATTCAGCTGTTTTTGATTTCATGGTTTATATTTTTCTGCTTTTGTTCAAAGGTGGTTGCAAAGATTCTTCCATTCAGAGTGGAGAACAAGAAGTATCTGGATCCCATCTGGAACAAGCACCACATCGAGAGAGTTGAGATTGTTTTGAAAGAGACCCTCGATGTTAAAGGTGATTAATAATTGCCTGAGTTCTTGTTACATTCAATTATGTAATAAAATGGATGCCTTCATTATTTAAAAAATGAACATCCAAACAACAATGTTTATTTTATGCATTCATGTATTATAGAGACTCAACATTCTCTTAAAACTGTTTCCCAGAAGTCTTAAGAGAAGGTTTTAAGAGAAATGTCCAATATCTTGGGCATTTCTCTCAACACAAATCCCATTATCCCTATTACTGGGGAAAACACCAGAGGAAATTTAAAAAAAAAGATTCCTAACCTATCTATTTCTGCTAATTAGAATAGCGATCATCAAACACATTACAAGGAATTTGCTAAAAGATAATGACTCTGTAAACACAATGGAATAACTTAGTAAATGAAATCTATGTAATGAAAACAACTATGAGAATTAGAAACCAAATGCATATCTTTAAGGAAAGGTGGGAAAAATAGGTCAAGTATAGAACAATATAATTAATGTATACCTGAGTATTAACAATGTATCCATTCTTTTATTTGTAATATTATTCTTTTATTATTTATTTTCGTATTTGTCATCTGTTATGTAGTTAATCTATGTACCTAGATGTGTTTATTTTTGTTATGTATGCTTTGTGAATATTTTCTTAAAATCCAAATAAAGAAATTAATAGACCCAAAATTCATTTTGAAAGAAGCAATTAGATTATCTGCCATTTGTCAAAACCACACCCAGTGTCACTATTTCATAGCCTTCCTAAAAATACATAACATGTACTGATGGAGACATTAATTTTGGTTTGTTATTGAAAAAAGTATTATACATTTTTTTTGTGAAACTCCAGCATTTTGGAATTTATTTAATAAACCTTGCATTTGCATTCAAACTGTTTGATACAAGCTGTGAGGGTTAATACATACCAGAGTAAAAAGTAGTTCTATTTGTTGAGTTATTACATGATGTGTTGTTGCAATAATGTTCTAAGTACTTTGACATATTTGAGGGTGATGTCCTCTCTTGTTTGTTTTTATCTAAAGGTCGTATTCCCTTCTATGACCAGTACGGGGTGATCAGAGACGTGATGCAGAACCACCTGACTGAGGTCATGACCCTGTTGACCATGAGGCTTCCTGTGAATATGAGCAGCACGGAGGAGGTGCTGCAAAACAAGCTGCAGATCTTCAGTAATCTGCTGCCGATAGGCAAGAACCAAGCTGTGACCGGCCAGTACCAAGCGTACAAAACATCAGTGCAGCAGGAGATGAATAAGACCAAAGATCACGTCAGCCTCACTCCGACATTTGCAGGTGACAGATTTTCTTTTTCATCATTATGGCTGTTTGCAGAGGTGGGAAGTAACTAGGTACATTTACTGAAGTACCGTACTTAAGTACAATTTTGAGGTACTTTCAATGAGTATTTCCATTTTATGCTACTTTGTACTTCTACTCCACTACAATTCAGAGGTAAATTCTGTACTTTTACTTAACTACATTTATTTTATATCTTTAGTTACTTTGCAGATGAATGATGTGAAATATAATCAAGTCTTAAATCAGGCTTTAGTTCCACCTGGAGTAAATTCACAAGCTACCCTGCAGTATACAAAGTCATTCAAACTAGCTGCACCTTTACCAGCTTTGAGAACACTTTAATGTATCAATCATTATAATCAAAACATATTATATATATTATTCTGAAATGGTTCAATCTGCATAATGAGTACTTTTACTTTTTGTACTTTTATTTATTTTTTAATTTGACTTGTAACAGAGTATTCCTACACGCCTGGTACTTCTACTTTTGTTTAAGTACAAGTTCTGAGTACTTCTCCCACCTCTGGCTGTTTGTATTGAAAGACTTAACACATTTATTTCTGCTACTAAGTGACTATATTTGTGTCTTTCAGCTGTGTTGGCACACATCGATGAGGCTCAGTATGAAGGTGTGCCAATTATTTTGATCTCAGGGAAGATGTTAGATGAGCGAGTGGGATACGCACGCATACTTTTCAAGAACAACGTCTTTTGTCTTCAAAACCACAACAGCGTTCACTGCAAGCCCAAACAGATAGTTTTCCACTTTGGTCACGGCCAACTTAAATATCCAGCCATTCTTGTGAGTAAGAATTTATTCAAGCCCGTTTTAAAGGAAGGTCAGTGGAAGGAAGTGACTGAGCATACAGATGTTGATGTTCTAGGTTTACCTATTTCAGACTATTATGTGCAGACCCCATCAGAGAATCGAGAAGCTTATTCAGAACTTATTTCTCAAATTTTTGCCGGACGTAAGAACAGTTTCATTAGTGCTGAAAACCTGCTTGCCTCCTGGGGCTTATGGACGCCGCTGCTCACCAGTCTAGCAGGCTCTTTCCCCCGCATCTACCCCGGGGGGGCCGACAACGGAGACATGCTGGACTTGCGTGTGAAAGGGAAAGACATTAGCTACAGCAGTGAGGTGGTGATAATCGGTGTTGATCAGATGAGCGGCACGTCAGCAAAAGATTCCCAAGTGATGCAAGGCAAGTTCCGCAGTGCTGCCATGGTGTCGGCCTGGTCCGAGGAGCTGGTGGAGAGGCTGGCCGCAGACATCCAGGCATCAGCGGAGGCAGCGGTGCGTGAAGGCGGCGTTTTCCATCTCGCCCTCTCCGGTGGCTCCTCTCCTCTCGCTCTGTTCCACAGGCTGGCCCTGCACCACTTCTCCTTCCCCTGGAGGGACACCCATGTGTGGATGGTGGACGAGCGCTGCGTACCTCCCACTGAACTGGAGTCCAACTTCCACAGCCTGCATGACCATCTGCTGCAGCATGTGAGGATCCCTTATTTCAACATCCACCCCATGCCAGTGCAGCTCAACCAGCGCCTGTGTGTGGAGGAGGACGCAGGAGCGCTGCTGTACGAGAAAGAGGTCAGAAAGTTAGTCAATGGCTCCAGCTTCCACTTTGTGCTGCTGGGGGTGGGCTACGACGGCCACACTGCCTCTCTGTTCCCGGACAGTAAGGTGTCTGAGCTCGGGGACCGTCTGGTGGCCCTCACTGAGAGCCCCGTCAAACCTCACCAGCGCATGAGCCTCACTTTCAGCGCCATTAACCAGGCGCGCACGGTGGCTCTGTTGGTGATGGGCAAAGGCAAGCACGAGCTGATCACCCAGCTGAGCAGGATGAAGGACAACCCCGACAAGTGGCCCGTCACCGGGGTGAAGCCTGACGATGGAAAACTGGTCTGGTATATTGACTATGATGCACTTTTAGGATAGGAATCACATTCCTACCTTTCAATCCGAATACAAATGATTGAGCTGCTTAAATTGGACGGCTGATTGGTGAAAGCAAATATGAGCCAGCACTTAAAGGACCGGTAGTTCTACATGTTTTAACTCATTAACCAGAAATAATCGCATGTACTTGATGGTTACACTTTCTATGATGTCTATTCCATATATTTTTTTAAATATACCTATAATTCCTTATCGGCTTAATGCACTGCATACTCATAGTCATTAGCACAAATAAATAGATATAATGCTTTATAAAAAATGATTAAAACACATACTTTATTATTGCTTTAGATTCAATGACATGTTTGTTTTGCAAGGATCATAGTGTACTATAGTTCCTATTGTTGTCATACATTATAATAGTTTTGTTAGGCTATATAATGTATTATAATCATAAACTTAGACGGTATAATCATCAGCAAAACATTATAATGTTTTATAATATTATTTTTATCAACATGGATGTGCTTAAAGATGTCAGTAATGGAACAGCAATTATAAAGTATTATGATACTTGAAAATCAATTTAGAAAATAACTTTATAATGTGGTTTATTTTCTGAATAAAGCCTTATAAATACGTAGTAGTGCTTACATGAGTTATAATGTGCTATAAGCAGATTATAAAGCATTAATAATCAAGCAAGAATGTTTATAATTCATATGCACATCATAGAAGGTAGTACTGTAACATCACTGCTGTATTTTTCAATAAGGTCATCAGGTTTCTGGCAGGAATATTGAGTATGTGCAATATGTGGTTAATGGGTTAAAATCTACTGGTACTTTCTTTTTTTATTTAAAGTTTGAACCTCATTCAAATACTTGTGTGTGTTGGGGTGAAATGTATACTTTTTTTATGGTTTATCAAATTTTGTGTGAGGTGAGTGAAAATCTAGCAAATACATGTAGTACATGTCTGCAGTTCGAGTGCAGGCTATGTAGCACTATAAGAATATCTGACCAACAATAATGGGGTGCCAAAAGTAATTCTAACTAGAAGAAAGATGTATTAACTAATAATCCAGGTGGTTTCTATGATCTCAGGTGATTCTGTGAATGTGCAGACAAGCTGTTCACTGTGTAATCTACATGTATCAAGTGTGTGTTTTCTATTGTAGCTGGCAGTGATCCACTTGAAATGTCATCAGTTAAAACAAAAAATAAAATGTGAAAATATGTCGATGTTTATACTGGAAATAACAACATTTGTTATTGAAATGTTTCAGGTAATTCAAGATATTTTGTGCTTCACTAATAAAAAACAATCCCATTCCTGTTCCATTCACATTCCATTCACATTCCACTCTCAATTTATATAGTTTCCCAATTGTTCGGAAAATAAGGTGAGAGATATAAACTGAATACAATTTCCTATAGTCTGTTCATATTGCTTTTCTCTTCCTATGAAATAGACATCATGTTTGGTACTACAGAGTTCACATCTGTGTTTGTATATAATTGAACACAGCATTGTGTAAACTACACCTTTATTAACATCATTTGACTGACTGTGAAACAAGTGTTCCTCAACAAATAAAAAGCAAATAGTTTTAACAGTTAAGACAAACACCTGCTTTGTGATGTTCTTTGTGAAGTGAGCGATAAAACGTGAGGGGGATTAAGTCACTTTCCCATGGTTTAAAGTTACCAGCTGCCGGTGGCATAGAGACCACATGAAATCTTAATATGGGGAGTTTCAGATGTCAACGTGGGACAGCTGGACCGCTTTACTGCTCATTGTTTCTGCTCGGATCCGTCACATGCTTCCTGTTAGTCAACCAGAGGCCTCCTCTCACCATGAAAAAACCTGAACAGACACAAGCAGGTGTTATTTCCTTTGAGCAGAAAACAGTGTATGTATGAATAGTCCCACGATTTATAGTAAAAACACTTTACCTGTACTGAAAATAGAAGCAATAGTTAGGATAAGGGACATGTAGTACAGCTCCGGGGTGGTTTTAGCCTGTGAATGTAAATATGTATATACATAACTTTGATGCTGTAGTTTCTCTGCATAATTTAATGATGATATTCAGTCTGTTTCTTACACATGCTGCTGCTGTCAGAGTCAGGATGGCGGTGCAGAGACCTTGTCCACATGTCAGAATCCCAAACACGTGATAGGAGGCCCAAAGGCTCTGAGGAACTGAGTCTATCAGTGTGAAAACCACTGAAAAACCTATTGAAGGAGTTAAAGTCAGCTCTGTATCCTCCTGTTTTGCTTGTATGTTACACACAGTGCATGGTGGAGTTTAACTAAGTGCATTTACCCCAGTACTTGACTCAAGTAAACATTTTCAGTGCGCTTTAGTCTTCTACTCTTCTACATCTCAGAGGCAATTTATTTGACTTTTTAGTCCTTTACTTCCGTCTGTCAGCATTGGTCATATTTCTCATTACAATTTTTTATAATTTTCTGTCCAGTGAAAACTATATCTCGTAATGTGTGGATATTTTTATTTTAATGTTTCTGATAAACTGATGAATTAGGTGTTTTTCTGAGCAACAACAATTTCAATTAGCATAACCTTTAACATTTACAGCAGTAAAATACAATAAAATTCTGCAGTAAATCCAAAATTCTAAAGTAAAACTGATGGGACATCTTTTTCCAGAAATATAATTTGTTGATACTGTAATGTTCACAGATGGAGTCGGAAACAGGCTTCAAGTTATTAGGCTTTAATAACTCTTCTTAGCTTATAGGAATACAGGTACAGGTACAGGTACAGCTTGGGGTTTCCACCTACACAACTATAACTCCCACACACACACCTATATATACCAGTGTCTACGTCACAACCTCCCCGCCCTCCCCCGTCCGCTCCCCCAACCATAGGCCCGCACCTAGACCAGCATCCTGTGCAGCTCTGTGATTGGCCAAGAGACGGGGGATCCTGAGTGACACCCTCAGCCTCCTATACAGGGTCGCTACAATACATTAAGTACATTTAACTGTACTCAAACTTACTCTTAAGCCCCACAGACCCGGTTCCGGGGCCGAAATTGCGTCATTTGCAGGAAACAACGTCTAAGGAACCTTAATATTTAATAAATTATGAATATTTTGTATCCATATAACGGGAAAAACTCATTTAACTGATTTTTTTTTTTTTTAAAACACAATGCTAACAGTGAGCCTCTGAATTAGCCCCGAGCGAAAAATGCTAACCTATTACTGCACCGAAAATCACTCCTAGCTCCCTTATTACTTATCCTATCTGCACATCCAACACATGGTTTATGATCGTAAAGACACAAAATCTAACGGTGCCCACCTCAACAATGAAAGATACAAACTCGCTACGTTATCAACAAAAACGTACATCAAAACATGTGGCGCTAGGTAGCCCACAACGCTAACATGGCTTACCTCGGTTTTGTCTGGTCAAAACTGGTCTTCAATGGCATTAAATAGATAACAACGAGGCTGTAGTTAATCCATAGGTTAATATCCAATGTGGCTATGTCCCCTTTGAAATGTTCTGATAATCTATAAGCAATAAAACTGCAATTCCGTTTTCAAACATCAGAGCAGGACATTCCTACGCTCTGTAGCAAGATTGAATGCGCGAAGACACCATCTTTTTTTTAACATGAGTGTGTGCGGGACGATTCCCCTTCGATTCTATTGGCTCTAACGGTCAGAAAGAGATGTCACATGTCAA